AGGAAAAAAAAATCCAACACGGAAAATAATATGAAATACCACTGTCGATAAACTAGTTCACCCAAAATTGTTCAGGTTAACAGATGAAACCCATCACTGAAAATATATTTTTCCTTTTAAAAGCGTTAAAATAGAACTAATTTCTATACTTGAACAAGATGGCCGCTAGCTAAAAGCAATAACGTTGCAGGATGTATTCTTTTACGCACCGCGACTGCCCGCCGGAGCGAGCGCCCGACTGCTTCCCTAATAACTGTAAGGATAACACAAACAACTCCGCCCGACAGGGCTGTTTAAAGTGTCATATCGAGCACCACGCGGCTGCTTTGGCTAGTGTTAGCAGATAGCGACTGCCGACGCCACTTGGGCGTTTATAAAAATTAAGATAAAACTAAATAAAGCAAACCTTAGATTGGCTCTCTTCTGACTGACTTGCGTCAGTGTTCATGGTCTCTCGTGACTGTTGACTGACTTTCATGGCCGGTGGCCCTGTATTTTGGCCTTGTTGAAGTCCTGGTCTCTGGCCTTGTTGAGGTCCTGGTTTCTGGCCTTGCTGGGGTCCCGGCTTCTGGCCCTGCTGGGGTCCCGGCTTCTGGCCCTGCTGGGGTCCTGGCTTCTGGCCCTGCTGGGGTCCTGGCTTCTGGCTTTGCTGAGGGCTTGGTTTCTGACCTTGCTGCGGCCCAGCTGCTTTCGAGCTTGGGTGTGGAGTCGGCTTCTGCTGCTGACCGTTAGCATTTGCCACGGGTGACTTCAGCTGCTGGTTCAGGTTCTTGTTTGCCTGGTTTGGCTGAGGGGAGGTCACGTTAGGTGTGGGTGGTGGTGACTGAACTTTCGGCTGGGGCGCAGGGGTTGTGGATTTCTGCTGCTCTTGTGCCGGTTTCTGATGCTGTTGCTGCTTAATCGGGCCTTCCATCGTAAGAGCCGGGCCTGGAGTCGGCGGAGGGATGATGGGTAGCGACTGGTTCTGTTGCGGCTTCTGGGGAGTGTTCTGCGATCCTTGGTGTGGTGGTCTGTTGAAGTTGTGTCCCCTCCGGTTTTGATTTTGATTCTGGAAAGGATTATTCCTAAAATTTGGGTTTCCCATAAGCCCACCTCGCATGGGGCCACCGGGCCCACTTCCTCTGCGCGGCTGGAAATGATTCATTCCAAAGCCGCCACGATTATTGTTGAATCGAGACATTGGTCCTAATATATATAGGCAAAAATTATTTTTAAAATACCAAAAGAATTAAAGGTTTACTGCTCAACAACCACCTCCAAAGGCTGTTCGCAGGTTCTCAAAATGGCGACCGACAGTTAACGTATTTTCTTTCTTTCTCCAGTACGCAGACGTCTGGCTCCGCCCAGTCCCATTGACTGGTCCGTTGCCCAGGAGGCGGAGTAAGAGTTTTTCGAAGGAGCCAGTCCTGAAATCACCAACTCTGCTCTCATATGTATGTAAAGAGGCGGCCATTGCTCGAATGAAAGAGCTGTTAATCATTGCTCAAAGAAATCTGAAACAATTCGTTGTCACATAGCTATCTGTTTGGTACTGTAGCCTGCACAGTGGAACAGTCCCACAGTGACTATTGCTGACTTTATGACCCAGATTATGCATAAGAAGGGTATCCTTTTTATATGCATTTCACTTTAAATTAAAGCACGTGAATACACTTTATATATCTGGCCCTTGATGTAATTTTCACTTCAATGTGTGGCTGCTAGTGGAACTGACGCACTCCTGCTCCAAATAAAGTCACGGAAACAATCAAACACGGATTAAACGGGTTAACAGTGAGCACTGTCCAATGAAAGTAAGAATACGTTTTTCCTCTACAGAGAAGAAGCTCATACAGTTACCAGCACCTCAGACTAAGCTTTCAGACCCATTTGAACAACAGCTGTTTGCAGGGGTTTGTGTTAATCAGTCCTAGCTTAAAAAACATAAGTGAGAAAACTATTGAGAAAAAAACCCCCTTAAGGACTTGTTTAGAATTCAGTAGGTTGATTTTAGATTTATTAGTAAACATATGGCATAAAGATTTAAAGAGAATTGAAGGTAACTCTTAACTGGGCGTTTATATCACACTGCAGTGACACTGGGGTTTGCCTTAGTGGGAAATTATTTTGCTTTTAGCATTTCTCCAGCCCACGTAATAAAAACTATCACAAGAGAGAGACATGGCAGTTAACAAACCCTGAACTGAATTTTATGGGAGAGTTGTGCAACAGCAAACATGGTGGTAGAAGTATAATGTCCAGGAAGAAAAAACACATGTTAAAACCTTACTAAAAAACTAAAAAGACCTCTGCTTAGTTATTCGATCACCTGAATGTTGAAATGTCTGTGGGCAAGACACTAAACCTCATGTTTCCCCTGATGTATCCAATGTGCCTGTTGATTAAGTGCTTAGGCATGAAAAAAGCACTTGAATAATGTGGGTGAGTGAGGCTTGTAGTTAGAGAGTGCTCAAATTAAAAAGAAAAGTGCCATAGAAGTACTGCACCACTTCAGTCCCTTGGCTATTAGATCACACATCTCTGGCAGATGTCATTTAGACAATTTATTTTATTGCCATTTGTCTATTCACCTCAATGTTTGTTGATCTGTAACTTGACATGTAACAGTGTTTGTAATGAATGTTTCAGGTTTGCAGGTTATGCAGGTTAGCTGCAAATGATTTTTTCCTGGGATCAATAAAGTGATCTGAATCTATACAAACTCACATGTGAATCCAGTGTTTACCATAAGCTACAGTCACTCAGTCTGAGTCATAAAGCACTTAATTTAGTGTCTTTAAGCTTCTTTCCATCACACATGGCTACCTCCTGAGGCACAGCCACCCTTAACCTAACTGCAAGGCATGTGAAGGAAAAGCCACTGACACGTGCTCCAAGTACGTGAGAACTCCTTCAAAACTGGCTTCAGTGGGCAAAGCTTTTCTTCAGAGCAAAAGGAGACACCTTTGACAGACTGACAAGACTTAAAACATCCTCAAAGACCAGCTTTTACCAAGGATCAAGGTGTAATTTCTCTCCATTTTTCACCATGATGGAGTAAAAAAACAAACTTTGTAACTAAGTGGCTGCAAAATCATCAAATTCAGATTTTGAATCCAAGGCTACATTCCTCACATGTTAATCGGATTGCAAATCCATGGTTAATCCTTAAAAAGCAAGTGGACGAAGACGCCCACAAACTATGATCAAGTTCAAGCACCGATAGGGCAGGAATGGATCACCATCAATCAATATTCGACCCAGAAGCTGATGTGCTGCATGTCAGCAAAGGTTAATGCTGACTCGGCGTAGATGTGACTTATTTATCAATAAAAGTCTTTGATGTTGTCTACGTCATATCATAGAAACATTCAAAATAATCAAGTGTTTGAAACGCTGCCCACGACCATTAAAGTATTATTAGATATTAGATTATTATTAGAGAGTAAAAATATGGTAACCCCATGAATGAGTGTGTATGAATCTGCAGATACACATTAGAAAAATGAGTGACGCTCAACTCAGATGGACTTTTTTCTTTTTTTTATTTTTTATTACGCATACAGGTGTTTTGGAAACAAAAAAAAAAAAAAGAAAGAGGAGAGACCACCTCAGCCTCACCTGAACACGTTTCCTTAATGCTCATCATTATAAACCAACACAAAAAAGGATGAGATGACAACAGTGACAAAACAACATTAAAAAAAAAAAGTAAAAAAAAAACAAACCACAACAATACAACCCAGGAGAAAAGACACGAGACGAGAGGAACAAGTGGAATGATGAAAGAAAAAATGGCAAACACATCAAAGAGAAAATAACGGACCTAATTAGAGCAAAAAAATAAGAAAAATACACAAGGAGTCGAGGAGAGGAGACACATTCATCGAGTTGTGAACAGCAATCAAAACAGATGCCTTTCATCCTTCTCTACTGGTTTTTTGTTTTAAAATCAGGTTGGGAACAGTGATACAGCAGAACAGGAAATTAAGAAGAGAGCAAAATCAATATTCACAAAGGAAAAACTGTAAAACACCTGATATATATATATGTTTAAGCACACACACGACTCCTCAGAGTTACACTCCTATGTCCAAAGATCACAAGTTGTTCAAAGATTAACTTTAATTTTTTTTCACCCTTCAATTATGTTGGACCATTTTCTTGCCAAAGTGCTCCCTTTGTATAGCCATTATTTTCTAAAGTGGAATATAATAGTGTTGCTGACCTTTCCATATTTTATTAGTGGGGACCCAAAGGAGGGAGCGAGACTGTGTTGGTGTTATGGAAGAAAATGTAGAGGAAGTGTGTTTTACCAGAGGTTTAAAGAAAATAAATAGTGGAAATCAACAGGAATTCATGAAGAGGAGGAGGCTGTTAGTGGGGGTGAACTGCTGCTGAAACCAGTCATGGTGTGCAGTCTGTGCAGGTCTGCAGCCATCATCAGTCATTCGCCTTTAGGCCTAAAGGAACCAACTGAGGTACTTTCACATACAGATACATAGAAAGCAGATCAACCTGCAGGTGTGCACGCTTTGAAAGAAACAGCACAGGGTAGCACGAGTATCCACTGATTAGCTTTATTTCTGTTGGACTCTGATCACATACTTCCATGATGTTTGATCACATTTATTTAAAAAAAGAGAGGAAAGGAGCAGCATGGCAGCCTTGTGTGCAAGATTTAGTAAAAAGAGCCATTGCTGTTAACGATGCAAGACCTGGACAGGCCGCAGTCATGATTGGAAAGGATGGGTTGGCGCTCACTATCCCAGAGTCAAACTCTGTTGGGTACCCAACACTGGAGTGAAGCTGCAGTCAGACCAGATAACAGAAGGGTTCAGGAGACAGGGCGGGTAGGATTGCAAGCATAAACAAATGGGGCAATTACATGGCAGGTCTCTACAAGCTTGTAGATTATGCTGCATTTTATTTGTGTTTCTACTGCTTATGTTCATGCACCCAACTTTTAGGCTGTAGTCATAAAGCGAGAATGAATAAGAAGCCAAATCCACCTTTTTTTCCCCTCAAACTCATGCACCTTGAAAGCAATCACATATTAAAGTTTCACGCGACTCCACCTGTGAAGCTAAGAAGGCACGTCAAACTGCAGGAAAAAGAATTAGGATGCATAATCTGGTCTGATTGCACCTTTAAACAGCGGTGTGTTTGCAGGCGAGTACCAACCTGCTTATTTGCTCTGTGTTAATCTTGATTTTCTTGATTTACAAAGTCACACAGCAATGCCAGAAGGATAAGTGTAGCAATGAGCGAGAAGCTAAATGATGTAAAAATGAGGGGAAATGAGAATGAGGCAACAGATAGAAGTTGTAAAACAGAAGCCAAACAGGAATTTAATGTTTGAGTTTTCAGTGTTTCTCCCTCCGAAGGCTAAGACATGTGAATGCAAGCACTTCAAATCAGTGTGTTTGACAAATCTGTTAACAGTATGAGTGTTGCTGGACCGCAGGAGAAGCATTTGGTTGGTTTAGCAGTGTGGGTCAAATCATCGTTATCATCGTTACTAAATATGTGCGCGTTCGTGTATGTTTGCCGTCTCGTGGATGTGTGTGGGAGGGGGTGCTCATGGCTGTTTCCTGTGGGAGAATGGCAGAAAAGGGGTGAAAGGTCAGTGTCTCAAAGGGGGTCACAGTGGGAATGAGGTGAGGTCAGATCCGGGGCAAAAGCTTCTCGATAAATTCCTTTACAGCTGCCATCTCCTGCAAGAGAGCAGACCAAATGTTGGTACAGTGGAGAAGCTGAACAGATGATTCAGGACTCATCTCAGCTGAAAAACAGGCTGGACTGGAAATGTAACGCTGAGGCTGTTCACACAAATGGAGAGAGCAGACTCTACTTCATCAGGAAACTTAGGGTTTTTCAAGAAAAATGTGTGCAGCAAAATGTTGCACTTTTTCTGTTGCTAGTGCAGTTTTCTTTCTAGCCATCTGCTGGGCTAACAACATCAAAGCCTGTGACACTAGGAAGCTTAACAAGCTGTGCTGGAGACTCGTATATAGCCCACAGACTTCATTACTGAGAGAAGGACGTTCTGTAAACTCCTACAACCCTGTTTTTCTGCATATATATGTGTATAAATGTTTGATTTGCAAACCTTCTTTAAGACTTTTCTTTTGATTCAAGTGTCAAACTGTTAAAATCACAGCGTTTTAGAGACATCTACATTTGAAAGAACAGCTTTAGAAGCAAATCTGAAACATTAAAAATCACGGGTAATAAAAATTGTACCAGAGACCCAAGCGGTTCTGTTTTGATCTACCTGCAAAGTTTGAGCTGGAAGAGTGCATCATGGATAAAAAAAAAACAAAAAACAACAACCCTTGTTTAGAGTTTATCCTCTAAATCAGGGGTGGGGGAACTCGAGGTCTCAAGGGCTGGTGTCCTGCAGGTTTTAGATGCATCCTTGATCTAATACAGCTGATTTAAATGGCTAAATTACATCCTCAAACTATCTTGAAGTTCTCCAGAGGCCTGGTAATTGTCTTCAAGATTTTTCTCTTGAAATAAAAATTTCCTTATCTTTATTTCAAGAGAAAAACCTTCATTTAAAGGTTTAATTAACATTGCCTAATTCACCCAGGTGGGTGATGCAATGCTTTTGTTTTGGTGAATGTAATCAGGATGTCACAAAAATGTAAATTAGCTAAATATTTGATTCAACCTTGAAAGAAGTAAAACAAGCTTTTTAGAAGAAGTTATCAGTGTGATTTGTGAACAACAGTACCTGAGGACAGGAGCTGTGAGGGAGCCCTGGGAAGGTTTTAAAGGTAATCATTTGAGGGTTGACTATGGATTTCAGTTTTTCTGCCGTCATGGCACCAAACTGCACGGGAATCATGGCGTCCATCTCACCGTGGCACTGCAGGATTGGGAGGTTCTTATTGCCGCTTGACGCCTGTGGGACAGACATAGAAGTAGAATTTAGCTTTGAGCGTAGCTTTCTCACTAAAACCTTCTGGCAGGGTGACATGTTAAAAATCATATGAAGGTATCAGCATTGTGTTGAAAAGAGGAGCAGGCAGGGAAGGATGTTTCTCCTCTGCAGTGAAACTGTGACTGTACCGATGGGAAACTCCTGTGAAGTGGAAGCCAGCAGCTGAGGGCCACAACACCAGCCAACTGGTGCTGGCAGGTCAAGGCGGTATACAAGGACAAGGCCCCACCCTGAGGAGCAACACAGGAAGCAGACAACCTTTAATAGATGCATTTACGATATTGATCTTGTATATATAATAATGTAAATGCAATTCACAACATGTAGCACCAAGACAAAAAAAAAACCCCACCTGAGAGAAACCGCCAAGTATTATACGGTTTGGAGGGATCCCATTTCTGGCCTCGTGCTCGATTATGGCCTTGACTGTGAGAAGCAAGAATAACCCGTTAGTGAAGCCAAACAAAGGGGTGGGTAGCGTAGAAGAAGGAAGAAATAAGTCTTATGTGGCAAATTTCCAACAAAAATGTTCCACTTGACTTCCTGTCAACTTTGCAGCTGGCTTAAAAAATGTAATCCATACTTGGCATGTGGATATTCAAAGAAAAAAGTTTTTATAGCTGCTCTGAAGAGGGTGAAGACAGTCTTCATACACAGCAGTGACATTTTATAACAGTCTAAATAAGAGGATAACAGCACACACTTTTAGAGATTTTCTCTTTGAAGTTTCTTTTTTGTTTGTTTGTTTTTTACAGACAAGTACATACGCAAAGACTGTGAACATTTTTCACAAACCAACTAATCACAGTGTCAAGAACATCCGTTTTAAATCGCCTACATAACATTAATCTTACAATCAAGTATAATCAAGCCTCTCATAGTCTTACAATTGAATTAAATTTTATTTACACAGCACCAAATCACAACTACAGTTGACTCAAAGTGCTGTATTCTTAAATGTTCATTAAATGATTAGAAAAATTGCGGGTGGTGGTGGTGGGGTTAAACCTTAAATATTTAGCAGAGTTTTTGATCTATTTAACAGCAGAGGGATTTATGATATAAGCATTTAAAGCATTTCTAAAGATTCCAAATCTGGAGGCTGTGAGGAGACCCAAATCTCTGGTGGGACAATTTGTGTCTATGAACAAGAACAATCCATCCATCAAACATTTTGCCCTGAAGTTGCACTAAAAATTCTCAGATTCACAGACTTATTTTGGAAGCTTGGCTGTTAATAATATCATAAAGAGGGGATAATTTATAGGGTCGTCTTAGGCATGCAGCTTTAGCTGTGCCTACAGAACCGCTGCCTTCCTGGTGCTCAAACAATCTGCTTGTGAGGGGCAGCCAATCAGAAGAAAGTTGTCTTAAAGGTGGAGGAGCTAAAACAGCTCATTTCAGAGTGATCTAAAAGGCTGCACCAAGGCCCAATATCACATAAAAAAGGGATTATATTGAGCTATTAGTGACAGAAATGTATTGCAGTAGAGCTGGAAAGCAGTATAATAGGTGCACTTTAAGTATTTCACATTTATATATTTAATGGTGTAAGCACCCTCTTTAGCTTAAGCTTCAAGGAGTTAAGGTGCATACAAGAGAAGATACTAACCACTAAATAGAGGAATGTAAAACCAGACTGAAGCTGCAGCAGTCTGGAAGCTTTCCAATCACCGTTTAATGACAGCGTATTAGTGCTTCCCTGCTATTATCAACCCACACACGTGGCCCTTGTTCGATATTTAAACACATTAAACTCACTGTTTTCTGCTGCCTTCTTGATTCCAGATTCGTCCTCTGGAGAGTCGGGGCTGAGACCCATGAGGTCAAACCTGCACACAAGTAAAGCCCAGCATAAGGAAAATGAATGGATACAATTGCAGTATTGTCAATGGCAATATGGGAGGCTATTGTGGTTTCCAGGGAAACAATGGCATCCAGTGTTGAGCTAAAAGGCCGCCTCTTTCATCACGCCAACTCACCACGCGGGCATCATCGACTTCATGTTGAGTGTAACGGGAATGGGGGGCCTGCAGCGGAGGAGAGGCAATGAAAACATGATGGGAAAACAGCAGCCAGGAGCTACGTTACAGTAACACATTATTAACTCCAAACGACTTGAATGACTGGCAAAAATTTGGCTTAAAACGCACCAAATAAACATTACAGAGCATTTATTTGCCTACAAGTCTTTTTTTTTTTTTTTTTAAATCAATCCACATAAGTCCCGACAAACAAATTCTTAGAGGCATAAATCAAATCGTGACATGAGAAAAAAAAGACTTACGCGTGGGGGCAGATAAACTTGACGTGAGGCAGCCGGATCCCAGTCAAAGTATCCGCCCACCCATGCCTGACAGAAAACAGAGAGAGCAGCTCTTTGTTCCTAATCAAGCAACAGTAAAACCACTAATATGCAGCACATCCACCCCAAAAGCATTACAACCAAGTCCATGAAAGTCACTTCTACGCTGAAGTAACGCGTGTAGAAAATTATTTCTCTTGATGTACAACGATCAGCATGTGTGAAATGATTTTTCATCTCCATTACAGAGGAGCACTAAAACTGTACTGAGGACAAGCTGTCATCATGTACTGATTTAAGTAGTTTTTTAAATTAGACATTCATAATGTCGTAAGTGCTGCTTTATGAAATTCAACCACATGAATGTTGGCACCAATTACACATGACTAAAGGCCACTAAATGCATGTTATTAAAGTCAAGTGCAAAAGCAGCAAGAGCCAAATGCAGGATTTTAAAATTAATTATTGCCATTAACTCTGCATCACCACCCTCTGCTACTGTACTGTTTATGTAATGATTTGTACATGTAGGAATGTTTCTCCTGTGAATTTTCTGCTCACATTCAGCCCAATGAAACAAACATTTAAACAAAAAAAGGGAAATAACTCAAATTATGTGAACTATAATTACAAGGGGAAAAAATCAATTAGGTGCCACTTAAAGTGTGATCCAAAAGGTTTGGGCAGCTTTTAAGAATCAGTTCATCTTCTCTTCCATCTCTGGCCTGCTTTCAGCCTGGCTCCCATTTTTAGATCGTTCCCTGGAAATCCTGTTTTGACCACTTCATCACAGACCTCAGCTTCTCTTTCAAAGTGACATGGTTTGTGTGAGATGATAACTATGATAACCTATATTAACACACATATCTCCATATACATATACACAGATATATGTGTGCATACAAAATCAACAAAATCTATGTGACATGAAATACCAACTCAATCATAATGTCCGACTTGGAGTAGGAAGGAGCAGGTACATAAATATTAATCCCTACACCATGCTCAACACTCTGTTGGTTTACCATGATCATCGGCACACCCACTTCCCTGTCTATGTCTATGTACAGACATAATGATTAACATAAATATATATATACTATCAGGCATGGTTTTCAAATTTCTCCAAAAGCAGGTTTTGGAAATTCTTTGAACTGAATAATGCTTGAACCTTGTTGCAGGTCCACTGGAAAACTGTTCCAGTTATACTCCATAAATGGAAATGCAAAACGTTTTAATTATTATCCACATATCAAGAGTCTTGGTGATGAGCTGAACCACAACACAGCAGGTTTCAGCTGAAGAGCCCGCAGTGCCCAGTCGCCCAGGAGGAATCCTGGTCAGATACCCAAACCACCTCAACTGGCTCTTACTGTGAGCCCTTCTTGAATAGTGGAGCTCTTCATCCTACCTCTAAGACAGAGTCCAGACAGCCTTTTGGAGAAAAGTACTTGTATCTGCAATTCGATTCTTTTTGCTTGACTCAGTTTGTGTCCACAGGTGAGAGCAGGAATGCAGGGTGACCAGTAAATCCTACAGAGCTCACAGTGTCCGTGCCTGAACAGGCGTCCACAGAGAAAGCAATTCACTTGCAAATTGGTTTGCAGCTGACAGGTGGTTGCTAGCAGATAGTTCAGGCTCTGGTTGCTTAGGCAACCCTCTAATATATTTACTACCCTATAATACGGTATGTCAATCAGTGGTAATCTTTGCTCTCAGTGGTAGTCACTTCAATCACTCGCCTTGAAGTTGAGAAACTGCAGACTCGCTTTGTGTTTGCCTGGCATCACATGAAATCGCTGACTTTCTACATTGTTGCCATGTTACTGCTAGCTGTTTCCTGTGTGGACGCCTCTTAACCCTAGAACACTAATGTCGCGTGATTTTCATCAAGTGTTGAATAAAAATTACTTAGTGGTAATTTCCAAGGGAACTCATATGGTAAAACATTTATAGTCAGCTGGTCTTTTGTTTTTAAAACTTTTCCCACAGATGTCAGAGATTCAGTGAGAATGCACCTTTACTTGACAAGGCTAATGTGTCCCAGGAGTGAGTGGACAGTTTCGTCATTTCTTTGTTTTATTGGGTATATTATATCGGATAAAAATATACCCAGCATTAGTGATAGTGTTACAAAACTGGACGTTAGTGTTGTGGGGTTAAAGCAGGCATTATAATTGCAGCTTGCTTGATGTATGCCTGTAGGTTGTATTCACAATTGCTGCACTGTTGTGTAGTGTCTCCAGAGATGAATCCGCACTAAGAGAGCCTAACACTCACCATTCGATAATGAAACCTGCATCTCTCTGACCCAAGCGCACCCTAGCATACTTTATGCCTTTATGTTGCTACATGAATGCTTTTGGGTTTTTCCTCCACCATACACTCTGAATTTGTCCCTGTAACATTTTGAGCTGTGCGAGGGAAACCTTTAACCAGAAATGATGTGGTCTGTAGGTGATGGCATTTGAGGCTCTGCTCATCACCTGTTCTATTCACCAAAAGCAGCTCCCTCAGATTTGGCTCAGAATACAAATCTTGGTAAATGACTGTTTTGACAAAAGAGGTAAAAATACGAGTGGTCAGACAAAACTCCAACAGGGCGATCTACAAAAACAAAAAACAAAAACGCCCCAAAGGTGCACAAGAAGATATCCTTCAAGGTATGATCAGAAACTTTTTAACTGCACCTCACAGAAAACAGAAATAAAGTTACTCACCCTGAGTCTCCCAAACCATGAAGGAAGATCACCTGCAGCACAGATGGAGACAGCAGAATTATTTTCTCTTACACAGGCTTCACAAATAAATGGGAAACACTTCCTTCTAAATGCAGACACAGAGGCCTTATCTGTTCCCAGTACTGATTGGTAACAGAAACTTTTCTTCCTGTGATCTGGACAGTATGTTCAAGTCCATCTTGCACTTCACAGATGAAAAACAAAAAAAACCCTCTTTGATCTTCAATACAATTTACCAGCCTTCTGGACACAGAGTGCTACAGCTACAAGTTTGCAGAAGAAAACCAGGTGCCAGTCTTACATTCCTGCCAAGATCTACTCTCACTGCGAGTTTCCACACATGATACTTCCCTGCAGAGAAACCATGAAAGGGACTAATGACAGTTCAGAAGACTGGCAACTCGATGTTTGTTGGCTAGAAGTCAGAGAATTGGCTCTTTGCGCAGATCAAAACACTTTTCTTCCATGTAGGGTTCAGAGCTGGAACAGTCAGCTTTGATCCTGATGTTTAACAAAACCCTGCACGGTATCCAGTAACAGCCTGATAAGAGACTTGTTTAATTTTCACTCTGAGATCCAGCTGAGTGTTGACACAATGGGCCTGATTACTCTGCTGTAACACTCGTTACATGTGCTGCTGTAGGTGAAGCTACAGGTGAGCCATAAAACAGGACAGGCACGGCTACAGAAGTAAAGTACAAAAAGTCCAATTTCTTGATATTGATCACAGTGCTGGGTGGAAATTTGTATCTCTATCTGTGTCTCTATGTGTTAGCCCTGCGACAGACTGGTGACCCATCCAGGGTGTACCCTGCCTCTCGCCCTATGGTAGCTGGGATAGGCGCCAGCACCCGCCAGTTCTATATTTGTTCTAACTACATTTCAAGAAATGTTTGATTATTGTTTTTATTAGGCCCTCAGATGGGTCAATAATTGGCAGCAACACAGATTTGCATGCATTTTAGTTTTTTTCGTGCTGTCAGATATAAAGCAAACTGACATTCGTGATCCCAAGGACATGTCCCCAGGACCCTCTGAGGGCTAGTATTGATTTGTGGGTCTTTGTGTAGGTGGCTTATCATTTAGTCAGGTGTGTGTAAAATAAATGAAAGTTTTAAAAATAACATTTTAATGTGATCCTAAAAACAAAAAAAATTAAATGAGAAAACCACACTTAATCGGGAGCTTTTTCTGCTTTTAGGTAAGTATATAAACACCATTTTTTCTGCGACTGTTATGGGTTTTTTTTTTTTTTTTTTTTAAATTACACCTGTCTTGTTAGCCTGAATGTTTCCACAGCACAGATGTGACACCAAGGTTCACCATACTTCACAGAAGTGTGAAGTGCCGCTCGGAAACAATTTCCATTCGGTCTTACGCCAAACTTCGTGTCACAAGTGACAGCTTTGAGTACCTCATAGTCTTTGTCTCACCTGTTTTTCTGTTTCTAGTTGGGCAGAGTTGCCCGAGCAGCCAAAGTCAAAATTAAAAGCACTGTTTGATTAAGGCCACAAAAAACACTCCAGCAACGTTTGAGGTAAATAAAGTTATGTTAGGTTTTGTGCTTTCACTCACCGCCGCGGTCTCCTTCTCCACCCCAGACACCGTCACAGCCTCGGCGAGCAGCGGCACAGACATGTTGTTGCCACACATACACTGTAAGAGGTGCTGGAGACAAAAACGAGAACAGAAAGAAAAAAAAAAGAAAAGATTTCAGCTGCCTGCAGATTGCACAGTGAGAAGCGACTTCAAGCTAAACAAAATGCTTCATTTAACATTCACACATTTGAGATAATTTAAGCATTTTCACAGTTTTCAGTCCTTCGCGTTAACTCTGAGACTTTTTACACAGCAGATCAAAACTGTAAAATCCGCTCAAAGTTCATGGCAGCTTCTTTTATTCCTGTAGCAGAGAAGGAAGTTGAGTCATAACACTAATCTTCCGGAGCTTTTTCTGGAGGATACATGTTTTTAATACTAGAAATCACTGGATATCACACAGCTCCTTTACTCCAACAGAATCTGCTCTAATCTCAAATCAAACTGGTTTAATAATATAACATTTTCATATTCACCTAACAAGCAAAAGATCATCAGTTTGATGGTGTTATGGTGACCTCTCACGAATAAGGGAGCACCAGAAAGTAGCTTCTTCACTCATATTCTAGTTTTTCTGTTTCATTTATATTTGGAACAGTTCTTGCTTTTACTTTCTCTTTCTATCTTTGTCATTGTCATCCAACAGCCTCCTTGTGGATCTTGAATGTGCCCCAGGGGCTTGAAACTACACATGATCTAGCATATTGGATGGCTTTGCAGAAGACAAAAATTACAAAGGAGGAGGGCTTAAACTTTGGACTCTGACATGTTCTCTGGAACCAAGTTGACAAAAATTAATCAAGATGAACCAGGTTAACTTAATAGTTAATTTAATCAGAGGCAGAGGTCTGAATCACTGTCAGCTTTAATACATGCAGCCTTCATACTGACATTACCCATGGTATACCACTCTCCACCAAAGCGAGGTGTTTAAACCATGCTGATTGGTTTCTTTAATTTACTGCAGCAGGATTTATTTTACCTGGCTGAATGTGGAAAAACTAAGAGGAACCAGATGAAGATTCAGTTATTTATTGAATTTATTTATTCAGTTATTTATTGTATTCAGTTATTTCTTACAATGTCCACTCAGTCCACTCAGAGCTCAGTTTATACTTGTTGCGCGGCTCTCAGATTTTGTACCCTGGGAGGCTCGGCTGAGATGAAAGGTGCGAGCGTACGATACTGTCAGTCTTTGCTACGATTTCAATGATAAATCACTATTGAAGCTCAGATGTTGTCAGATTACAGAGAGGGAGAGACAGCTTTCTGTTTGTTGATGTGTGTTTTTTTATCAGTGTTGCCATTCATACATGCATTCATGAGTGTCAGCATTAATGGTTACTAGGCTGTGATATCGTCACCGGTGGAGAAGCCAACAATGAATGCAGTGATCACAAACTTATTTTAAGAGCAAACTGTGCTGCATGAGTCCTGTGAACTTAAAATAGTTCCGTTAATATAACGTGCAACTGTAAATTTATTTGGCAATAAAATTAGAGATGCGCACGACCAGAACAGTTCTGCCTGCTACTCAGCAACAAAAAGCTGTTTGCAGCTATGACCAACATACAACAGACATAGCGCAGAAGCATCTCTTAGATCTCACATGGTTAAACTACTTTTTCATATTTTCTTAATTTACAACGGTTATAAATTAGTAATGATTTGCAAACCAAGTCAGACTGTGACTGTAACCACTGCACAAAGGTTGACTCCTATCAGGTGACCTGTGCAATCGCAAGTGGTCGTGAGTGTGCAATGCCCTCAAACCTGAGCGCAACCATTTAGTCACCGCAAGTTCCAGCCGGTTGCAGATTGTAAACAAAATTCAATGAAATCATCTGGCAGCCGCCGACTGTTTCGATGTTTTTTAAGTAACATTGGTTTTACTGTAAGTTTTCTTTACGTCAGCTGTGACAGAGTAAACAGATGTACAGACATGCTGCTAGTAGCACATGCTGCTACTAGCAGCATGTAAGGTAGCATTGCTAAGGTTAACCAGTTTAACTAATCTGACATCAAGCAATTTATGAGACTTTCAAATATGATCTGATAACTGAAAAACATATTTAATGATTTGAAAAGGCGCTTAAATAAACACACATTATCTGTACAGACATATCTGAACTTGGCCTGCCACACTGGGGTTAATTTAGCCTCCTTTTGGAATGCTTTCTTATTTTCAGACTCATCTATTACTCTTATTTTCTTCTCATGTTTAACTGACCAGTAAATCAGTAGCCAGGAACATCACTAAAAACACCAAGTTGGGTGTACTGTATTATGAAGAACACGGGCCAATATATGGAAATCATGCTGGTAGAGCTATATTTACACTGGATTATGAAGTTCATTACATTTCTCCTTCTCTAAGCCTCACTGCTCATTCAATACCAAATGTTCACCTCCCCAGGATGTATTCAAATATTTAAATAGAGCACAGCCTATTCAAACCAGGGGCTGTGCAGATGCATGTCGAGAGTTATTTGCGTGTAGCTCAGAAGGACTGGATGTTATTTGGACATCAGCGGTGACATTCAACAGCTCTCTGTGTCAGTTATAAAAACCTCATTATCAGTGCAGCCATTCATTTGTCACACGGGAACAACAAAGGTCAACATATCGCTCACACATGCAAACACATAATGGAGCTGCTGGTGAAGGTAAAGCAGTCAGTAAAAAAAAAAAAAAAAAGCATTTGTGCCATGCAGGTTTCTGTAGTCAGCAACTGAATAGACTCATCAAATAAACTAAATGCCCTCTCTTGACTGTAAAATGGACCGCTGACTGGCGCGATTCAGCCGTCAATAACAGGCAGGAGATCAGGTTGTTGTTTTACAGTAAAGTCCAGCAGTAAAAGCCTCTAACATCCTGATGTTGTTGGACAGGATATGGGAGACGGGACGGGTGGGTCAGACAGCAAACTGTCCGATTGGTAAACGGGCAACAAGGAGACAAGGAAATATGGAAGCACAAAGGTTAATGTATAAACCTTCAGCGCCTCGGCTGTTAAAATTTCACAGATGTTGAGATCAAGCAGCTAAATGCTGCACGTGCTGTCCATACCAGGTGACAAATCATTAGCTGAAGGTCATATCTGCAGCCGAAATATGTGAAATCCGAAGTGTGGACAATAGAAGTCTGTTCGTTTTTGCATCAACTGATAAATGAGTACTAGATTAATAATGAATGGGCAAGCTGCAGGAAATAGCCTTTTTTTTAAAAATGGTAAACAGGATTAGCAGGGCAAAGAGTGAAAATTTGTCGTAAAGTTAACATTTTGTGTTTTCCAACAAATTGTGCTGCTTTTTCTGCACAGAGTGAATATGCATGAAAAAAAAAGTACTTCTACATCCAAACAACTTGTTAAAAACTAAAAGAATATTGCTGCTCAGCTCTCAAAATCTGAATATACAAAATAATATGTTCAGTGAGCTATTTATGCTAAAAGACACCAGATTAATAACTGATTCCTTACAACTTATAAATATCAAAGAATTACATTTTTCTATCTAAACACATTTAACTTAAATAAATATTTGGAACTCTAAGGAATATAAGTATTTAATATTTCATTAAAAAAGGCACAAGTTAGATAACTGATAGATTTTGATGGACAGGTTAAAACCGTCTTGATCTCGAGGTTGGAAGCCATTTGACTAAAATCCCAAATTTTATTTTTGAATTTTTCAGTGTAATTAAGGTCCTTTCTTCTAGGTCATTCCATGCTGCTTCATCAAACTATCTGAAAAAATCCAGGGTAAAAATAAACTTCTTGATGGGAATTAAAAAAAAAAAAATTCAGGTATCTATCATCAGTTTTCTCAAGGGATAAAGAGAGAAAAATATCTAAAAATACCACTAACATTATTTTTGAGCAGCCATTTTATTCAATATTTTTATGAAATTCTATGTAAAACTAATTTAACTGCTTCATGAATATTACTCTAAAAGTGCAGCGTAGTAATGAAGTATTTGTAAGCGGCCAACGCATGTGGTAGCGCATTACGTGTCAGCTACCTTGTGGTCGTGTTTATATGCAGCGACAGTCAATAGAAACAAAATGCTGGGACTTCATTCCCCTTCTATGTATCATATTTATCCCTCAAGTTTATCAGATTCCTTGTACATTTCCATCACACCATTTCTGGTAGCTTCAGCAATCCCGCTCAACGAATTGCCATCATTTTGGAGTCATTATTATTATTATTGTTGTTGGGGGAATTGACAGTACTGAACAGGCCACTCACAATAGTTTTGGTCTGCGTCAATGTGACATTTACTTTACATTTCTAGAGAGTTGCAGGTCAGGTTACGGCAGAGGGGTTTCAGATGGGTTTGCAGTTATGACGTAGCTATGATGTAGACATTCATCTGAAGCATAAATCCCCATGAAGTCCCTACACTGAAGATAAATAAAAATGATTTTTTCCCCTCATATTCAAGCCTTCATATGTGTGAAACCATTCACCTGACCATTTTAAATAATAGTATGTGACTTGTATGTAAGAAACTGAATAAAATATTCTCTAAAAGCCAAAGTGAGGTTTCTACAGACCACAAAATCTGCTATCAGTGATCGGGTGTTCAAATATTTCAGGAACTTCAAGCATCCATCATTCCATCTTAACATGAGCTCCACTCCTGTAGTCCAATTTCACAGACCAGATATTTACCCTAAAAATTTGAAGGACCTCTCTTCAGTAGTTAACTTTAAAATCATGATACTAGAAGAACATCTAAAAACACCTGAGCAGTTTTTTACATTTTGTTTCAATTCTATTATATACATTGTTCCTCTGGAGATAGATATCTATCTATCTATCTATATCTATATGATATCTATCTATCTATCTATCTATATATATATATCTATCTATTATCTATATCTATATATATATATCTATATATATATATATATATATATATATATATATATATTATATATATATTATTATTATCTATTATCTATCTATATATCTATCTATCTATATCTATCTATATTATTACTATATATATATCTATATATATATATATATATCTATATATATAGATATATAGATATATAGATAGATATATAGATAGATATATATCTATATATATTTATATATATTATTTATCATTATCTCTTCTGTACAATTTAAAATGAGCTTACTGTATTTAATTTTATTGTGCTATTTTACATAATATTTTGGCTGCTCAAACATGAAAATGTCGCAACCTATAAATATAAATACAAAATTGTTCACCTTGTCTTATAAACTTGTTCTCCTGGTTAAGTAAAAATGGAAAACAGACCTCATTTCTGTTTTTTCTGCAAAAGATTTTAAACTGAGTAGGAATTGCTCTTTTTTTTTAAGAAAACACACAAGAATCCAATTAAAGAGCTTGCTTTAAATAAATACTAATCCAGCATTAACAAATTGAATTTATCTGCACTCTAGACGCTGACAGGGAACAGGCAGAGACATAGAGTGGGCAGCATGAGTGCAGAAGTGAAAGAAAGAAAGAAAGATGATAAGAAGATAAACGGAGGAGTGCAGGTACAATCGGACAATCTGTTCAAACAAGTAGGACGAGCTCAGGAAACATGGTAGCATAAGCAAAGAAACAATTAATCTCTGTTATACAGTTTTTTTCTACCTGTTATTGTTCAGCAGATTTACAATGACCCATAACCCAGAGACCCAGCACAAAGCATTGTGTGGCCTTTCAAAGTAGGCTCCAAGAAACAACGGCTCACTCACTCTCTATGTGCTTCTGGAGGAGGCTGCTGGTTAAAAATAGTGTACCACCATCAAGTCCAATTCAAGCTGAGTCTTAAAAAAAATGAAACAAGCCTTGTTTTATTTAACTCTGCAGTTTCCATCATCAAAAATCTCTCACTTTACTCAATAATTATGTAAACCAAAGCAGCCAAAACCTTCATATTTATGCATCATGCCACAAATGGTAACCAGTTATGGAATGACGAGAAGAACGGCATCTAAAATATGCCGGAAATTTTACAAATCATGTGCTCCAGGGGCCAATCTGTTGCCTTTACACTAAATGTTTAGCTTGATTATATGTTTAAAGCTCATAAACACTAAAACTGAAACCACTGATAACATTCCAATACTCAAAGATTTACAGCCAGGACCAACACCTCAGCATCAGAAATGAAGATCTGTTTCCTGATGTTCAATTAAAAATTATCCCAAATTGCATTTCAGATTTACATCAGTTCAAGTCTTTCTGGTTCTATCTCCAAAATAATGAGGATCTGCTGCTTTTTTCACGGTTTTGTTTGACTGCAAATTCTAGCATTCCCGGTTCTGAACAGTTTTTTCTTTTGAATTTCAAACAGGTTTTCATTGTATTTTCAAAAACTGGTGGCAGTGTTTCTAACCTGTTAGTTTAAGCTAAGCCAAACATCATAAACAACTGCTTCCCTCCATTCTACAGTGGACTGCAGTCAGAGAAATAAAGGATACTTTATTTACTTACTTAGATACTTTAACCGCGTAAGAACAATTCTTATTATTTGCCATGCCCCATTACAATTTGAAATAATTCCCTCTGATGTTGTCTCTCGTTAAACGTTAACTCCCCACCAGGAAGTAGATGCTTTAATTCAAAGCACGTTTATTTTGTGTCACTGTTCAATCTGTTTAAATCAAACTGTTATTTCACACATGGTGTGGTGCGTGTGAGCAGATGTGAACACGGTAATCACACTCAGGTGCAGTAACTGCACTGAAGGGAGCTTGGAGGGGGTAGTCTGAGTCAGTTTCAAAAGAACTCCAGACAGGTTTGTTATAGTGAAGAGGTCAATGCTGCAATTTTGAGCTAAATACCTTCCTGTTGTCAAATCCCAGCATCCTGGGATGTGGGTGAGTACCATAGATATATAGAGTACACAAACTGAAACAACTAGCCATAAAATGAACCAAGTGAAGTAACTTCCCCACCTCGTACTGTAGTCCAAGAAAACTGCACTTTTCCTGCTCCCATCCCGAGTAAACAAATTAGAGGTGAGAAAATTCTATTAAGAACACTTCGAGTGACCAAGCGCGGTCATTTATGATCCCGCAGTAAATTTATATGTGCTATTGTGATGCGTTTAATTCCTACCATGAATGTTATCAGTCTACTTCTGCAATTTTTCACAATAACTTCGGAGTATTTTATAATAATTGATAAACGACATGGAGAGGATAGCATAAAGGTACTTTTTGTAACACACACACACACATATAATATATGCATGTTTTTCTATACTGAATGCTATGATTGTAATTTTCCACTTCTAATCACTACAGTGAACCATGAATAACAGACATACAATAACAACACGCACTGCAGTGGAAGCCTTGAGGCAGATGTCCAAAGAGATGATGAATTAGTATTTTAAACACAACACATGTACAAACAACATGTTTGTTAAGATTTGGTGTGATGCAGACACCTGGTAGTGAAGGATAAAAGTAAAACTGCTAGTAATGTGTTATTGATCAAACTGTTCCTTTAATAACCACTCCATCTGTTCTTTTTTTTGGAATTAAAAATAACACAAGTACTTTGCAATACATAAAACTCTCAAACATATTTTCCGTTTTAAAATAAATAAAGTATTTTTCTTTACCACTTTTATTGAAACAAACACTAACCACAGGTTTGTAATAAGGAGCAGCAGAGACTGCATAAATAAAGTTGCTTCTGATAATTTTTAAAATTTATTTTTCAATAAAAATGATTAAAAACCATAATCAGTTAAATTAGAAAAAAATTTTTAGACATCTTTTGTAGCAAAAAAGTATTTCTATATAAAAGGTACATCTACATAAAATATAAAAACTGTCTTTTTAGTCTCTAAAATAGCTTTGTCTCAAGAGCTAACAAGACTTGTTTGTTCTTCTTAAAGTATAATAAATACACATTTTCCATCAATCGCGTTGGATATCATATTAAAGAAATTTGACCTCACTATTGATCAAAATCATTGTAACTTCGTGCCGTAATTTTGCTATTTTTGCCTATGCAGAACACTCAAAAGTTACTGAATCAGGCAGGAAATGTAACCACTAATGCTGTAACACCACACTGCATTATCACATCATAGTATCTCGATTTATAGTTCATCTTTCCCTGATTTTAAAGGGTGTAATGTGATGAAGTGATACTTAGAAAAAGCACTACTCCAGTGTTGACTGACCGAATGATTAACTATATTCAATGAAAAGCAGCAGGCAGCTCCCACCACTACTTTTAGGTAAAACAGGCCAAAAAAATAAAGAAAATGTAGCCTGTTTGGACATCACGAGTCTCCATCCTGCGTGACTCCAATTACATTTAAATCAAACACAAAAACCAGAGGCGTGCTGCAGTGTGTGCGCGTGTGCACGTCAAAGACACACACACACACACACACACACACACACACACACACACGAGAGCAGGCTGCTGCACTCAGCTCAGTGGCTACGGATGGCTGGCAAACAACAGGATAATATGCGGCAGTGAGTGACAGGCACCCCACCACCAAACACACCACCATCCTACTCCCCCTCCACCAGCAGCAGTAGCAGCAGCTAACCCCGCTCCCCGCCTGCTGATGGAGGGTTATAGCTCGGCTGGCTAGCTGATGTCAAAGAAGGCAAAGCGAAATTTGTAGAACGCCTCACGGCATCGGATAAAATGAGTTGATATGGGTGTGTGAAGCAGAGGAAGCGGGTGGTGTCGAACAGGAAAGAGACAATGAATGGCTGAAGCTTAGCACTGATATGCGCCTCATCCTTATCCTCGGTAGTGATGGCATTCAGCAGCGCAAAGCCTCTGCTGCCCCAAAAACACACACTGCCTGACTCCCGACCATGCGCTCGGGTTTAATCCAGGTTTAGCCGACCCCACACACACACACACACACACACACACACACACACACACAATAACCGAGAACAGTGGGAGTACACACAAAGACACACACACACACACACACACACAATAACCGAGAACAGTGGGAGTACAGCTGCTACTAGCTAACGTCGCGCACGCGCGCACACACATTAACTGTATTGTCTCCAACCGGTGTGTCTCTGTCTTTGGTTACTTCGGACAAACGTTACGAATCAAATTCAGACCCAAAACCCCGCCCGTTTTTTAGGAGACCCTTTAAGCACTAAAAGGACCCCGTTATGGTCCCATTCGAGTACGGATAAATGATTTAAAATTACACCCACGGCCCGCTAGCTCACACAGACTCATACACTCACCGCTTTGCTGTCCCAGTTCACGACGGAGCGGAACTTCCGCTACTGGCCGCTCACAAGCAAGGGGCGGTACAGTGCGTGGAGACGTCATCGTGTAACCACGCCCGCTGTGGTCCGCATACTCTTGCTTCAGGGTTTTTACTCAAAATTTTATTATTCTTATTTTAATGTAATTTTTTTTTTCAGTTTTACATTATATCCAAATTAGGGAGTAAATGTGAGCGATTCTATATTTTTACTTCGAGTTAAAAAATTCCTCACAAATAATCCCATTAACTGCATATATAGCTTTACTAACTGCCCACTGTTAACACCGTTATTGCACAAACGTCTTTTTTGAATGACTATGCTTATATTTAACACATATACTTTTTTCTGTATCCATAAAAGATATTCTAAAATGTTCCAATTTCATTAACTATGGTTTTCCATCATTTTTATAAAAAACAAAAATCACTAGTCACTAGAATAAAACATTAAAGCTCTAGATGTGTTTGAATAGCTAGTACCAGGCTGAATCTCCCTTTTATCTTCAGAGTTGCCTTAATTCTTCATGGAAAGCATTCCCATGAGATTTATTGGCTGCATATCAATGATATGAATCTCTGTTTCACCACATCCCAAAGGTGCTTTATTTGATTGAGATCTGGTGACTATGTAGGCTGTTTGAGTACAGTGAACTCATTGTCATGCTTCAACAACCAGTTTGAGATTATTTGAGCTTTGTGACATGGAGGATTTTCCTTCTGGAAGAATTTCCTTCTCAGTATGTATGTATGTAAATTGTAAATTGTATGTAATTGTATGTATTTACTGTATGTAAATTGCTTTTTAAAAAATTTATATATTTAATTTGCTTCTATTATAGTTTACACATGTAGAGGTTAGTTTATATCATATCGCAAGAACTGTTTATGTGCCACTTTTTTCCATGTTGACCTAAAATGAGCTCATTGGAGCATTTTAAAAATAAGGTGTTTTTTTTTTTTACAAAAAGGCCATTCATACCGAGCTCACACATTCCTGTAAATGACTCCCACAGAGTGACTGAAGACTCAATTTATTTTTACTAGCACACTATTACTAAGAGTGCCATGATGTATTTGCAGGAGGGGAAGAGTGTATAGATCATTGTTAATGGTATAATAGAAATAAGTATTCACTGAAAAGCTCTGGGAAATTGCAAAATGGATGTGACACATTTATTATAGAGCTGTGAACGAAAAAGAGAAACTTGAATACTGACTGCAGCTTTATTTCCTTCCTGATTTCATAAACTTCCTTTCACTCAAACAAGCACTGTGATATTATTGTAGAGACAAACGGAAGAGAAAGAAATGTATTAGGTAAGAAAAGGCTCTGAAACACTGGTGAAACATGCCTGCGGTGACAAAAGGATCCACTATATGGCACAAAATATCTTCCAGTTGATAGAGAACAATTTGCTGGCTTCACAAAAGTCTTTAAAATTATTTGAGCAACTCCAATAACTAAATTGAACTACTAAAAATACTAAATTGTATATGTATGCTTATTATGCATGTTAGTTAATAGGTTTTAAACCTGAAAGCCTTTTTGTGTGAGGCTAGTTTTTCAACCAAGGTGTAAACTTGGCAATCAGGACTTTAATAAAATACAAAAAACAACTTTGTTTGGTTTAATTTTCAGGTTTTAATGTTTTATTTCTGAGTTCCTGTAATGTTATTATAGAGGTGATTATCTTTCAATTGAACTGAGAAGAGCAGACTTTGAGTTTGAAATGTTTCATGCATTTATTATTCAGGTGCTTGTCAACATTAAGCCTTTATTGCCATAGAAATCAGACATACATCTTAGCACTTCCAGACGCACATAAGCTCCACTGGTCTTCAGACATCGGTGCTCAGTCCCGGTCGATCTCGACCACCCTGCCAGTACGCAGCGTTAAACTCATCTTTGACTTTGTGACGGTCAGAATGATGTCACTACAACCCTTAAAAGCCTCCTCTTCTCCCCGTCTCTCTGAGCTCTCAGGAAATGAAGTTGGTTTGCGGGATGATGCTCTCCACTTTGTGATCTGCAGGATTTGCTGTGGCCTCGTAGTTACAGATGGTCACTTCATGTCTGTGAGCCTTAAGAGGGGCAAACAGGAAGAAACAATTCACACAATGTGTTAAAACTGTAGATTGTGTTAAAAAGAAAAGACTTCTTCAAAGTCTTTATTTTGCTTTTAGCAGTGACTTGAACAAGACTGTCACAGATACAAATGCTGGGATTTGTAGAGGGTGACAACAAAACAGTACATAAAAAGAAAAAATAATAACCATTACACATGCATTTTAAGGAACAACGTGTTGTAGGAACAACACAATAAAGTGGCCAAAAAGCAAAGAGCTTTAAATACTTCATGAAGTGCCTGCAAATGTTTCTCTGCCATCATCTCTCCAGTCACATGTAAATGCTTTCAGCTGGAGTAACGTCTGCAAAACATGCTGATAAATTAATCTTTAACTAATTTTCAGTGATTTCCATTCGATAGTTAAATGTTTAGATCTTCAGTGATGATCAGGAAGCTAAAGACACCTTTAATCTTAATCAAAATCATCTAAAAAAAATAATAAATTAAAAAAAAAAAGAAGAAAAAACAAACAAACAAAAAACCTGATGGTGCCACAGCGGAACTGATCTTTAACTTTTAGCGTGCTTTGTAACTCCTTTGATGCACACATAATGCTTTCTACCAAATAATGCATGGAGGCAACAAATATTTAGGAATAATACCAAGGACAGAAATGACTGTTTTGTCTTGATAATATGAAATGTGTTTGAAGTGCTATCACAGGACCACACGAAGTGACTGACACACAGAGACTCTGTAACGTCAGAAAGATGGCAAAGTACTCGGGAATGAATCTGCTGCCCTGAGGATAAGTGACAAAAAATAAACAAATCTTGTTTGAGTGTACTAATGATGTGAAGCAAACGGCCAAATCAATCATGGAAATGCCAGAATAAAACTGATGCTATCAGAACTGATTCCGGGAAACATCCATGAGTATAGATTCTCGCACATAAGATGATAAATAAGCCAAACAGTCTCATCCATAGACACTTGTATCCTGTTTCCAAGACGCATAGGTTACAACCTAGCTGTACCCGTCTGTTTATTAGGTGCACCTACCTTAATTTAATGTAATCTAATGTAATTGTCCTGCAAAGGTTCCTCCTCAGGAAAGTGTAAACATGATTATCCTGCAGGTTGTGGTTGCTGTAGATTAGTCACACAGAGGTTACCAACATTTAGTCCTCATTAAAGCTGGAACTGCGAAGCTCTCAGAGGACCTTCAGGGAAAAGGTTGAAATGCAGACAACACCCTGAAGGAAGATTCTGCCTCAGTGGATTTTAGAGAACCAGCCTCACTGAGACAGTTCGAAAAATAAACATCATGTAGTGGAAGTTTGGGTTTTTTAACACAGGTGGGGAAATCCCTCCCAAAAACAAACAAAAAAACCAACAGAATGGTTCCCCTACATCAGAATCTTCTTATAGTCACTGATAACAGTGGTTCAAAATTATGACTGAACCAGTGAAACATGGGCAAAAATAAATAAATAAATAAATAAAAAACTAAAGCCACAGTCGTGACAAATAAACATGCTGAAATGATCCCTTATAGCACATCAGTTGATCAGAAAAGAGAAACACAGGAAGCAGCTCATCAACACTGCTTTTCTTTATTGTTGTTGGAGTTGAGACTAACCTCTGAATACTCTCCTCTGAGGCCGATGTAGTACACCCGGGTGCTCTCTGCTCCAAAGTTCTTCGAGATGTGGATGGAGAGGTGCTGAACGTTGGAAAAACGAGCGATTCTAGACACGCAGAGAGAACGAGAGAGCCTTTAGTTAAAGACAAAGACAGCAGAAATGCAAATGTACTCCAGGAAAGCCATCATGTGGTCTCAGTGTGAGAACTATATGTAATATTATACAAGTCTATGGAAAGACACTGGCAGAGTGGTGGAAACTTAAAGGATGATGGGATGAAGTAAGCGTGTTCATGACATTTATAATGAGCGCGTTAATGCTGCAAAAGAACACAGACAAGCGAAAGAAATGTCTCCTCTCATCTTTTAAACACTTCTTTGACCAGATTAAGTTTCACAACAAGCATCAGTCATCTTGGCTCGAACATAACGAAAGCCGTTAGACTGTCAGAGCTATAATTTGGAGTTTCAGAGGCCACCTCCCAACTGGTGTTTTTTTAACTGAACTTCACCTTCTATTTCTACTCTTAATTAAGTAGTTTTAAGAGGCTGGGGTGAATGTTTTCGTGCCCACACCTAACCAGAGTGAAAATGAAAGAAATCTGAGAGTGGGTAAAAGAAAAAGAATAGAAAGTGTATTAGCACGCGAGCTTGTTTCTTCCACTTAAACAAACATGTTCTGCCATCCGTTCATCAATATTTTGGATTATTATCTCAAATTCTCAAGTTATTTTCTCAGTTGTTTGAGTCAGTAAGTTGAAATTTTGAGATATTATCTCAAAATTTTGACTTACTGAAGGCAGAAAAGGCTTTTTTCAACAGCTGAAACAAGTTTTCATACATGACCGGCAATGATTGTGTGTTGAACCCAAGCAGAGCCTTCAGAGAGCTTTCCAGACTTTTCCAGCATGTTGGAGCTGTTTACTGTCACTAGGGGGCAGTGTCATGAACAAATGAGCCTGTGGGTTACTCTCGCTTGTGCTGTTGTTGATCGTTCAGCCAACTTAAGTCAGAATATACAAATATATAAATAACAGTGGTGTCCAAATTCAGGGGCTGCATCCTTCGAAGGACCCGGCCTCGTTCAAGGATGCAGCCCCTGAATTTGGACACAGCCACTGTCTTTGAAATGAAGTAAAACAGTGTTAAAAAGGAAACGTGTCCACTGCAGCCACCGCCTGTCTCTCTACTGCTGCTTTCTTAAAATCTTTACTGTTTTTTTTTTCTCCCCACCCATTCTTGCCATGATAAACAACAAATCAGCATTCAACCTCAACACCCCAGCCGGGCGTGTGAGGATCATTAATTAAGGACGTCCTACACGCTAAACCGTCACTCTGCATAGC